CAGGGAGGAATTTAGTAAGATTCTTACACAAATACGACTTTCAAAGCATTCTCCAATCCTCACTGATCAATTACTGTCCAGTAGCAGTTAAGATGCAATTAGAGAAGGCGCAAATGTGGTGAGGACCGGATCCCACGCTGAGTTGTATCACTACCACCGGAGCGTAAGTTTAGCAGGATTTATACGAATTGTAAAACTCACTTCTTAGGTATACACATCGTAAGATAGATGAAAAAACTATTTGAGTTGACGGATACGACCGCCTAGAGGAAGTAAGGTAACAAACAGTGAGCACACTTCATTCGTGCCTCTAGTGCCGCTGCGTGTGTTGTGATTGAGTCAGATCAATTGAAAAACGTTATCAGCATATTTTGCACGTACTATTCGCTTAGCGGAGGTGATGCATTGATAGGTTGCTAACAAGCTGCCGCACCAAAGGTATCGGATTGAACCTTTCATTACCACTGTGTGCCACACGTGCCCCACCAAAATTTGACAGTTTTTTCAGAGATCACAGTGCCCGTGTAAATACCAAGCTACATGTCTCGTAGCTGTCCACTTTTCCCATTATCGTTTTATTCGCCGAACAAAGCATAGATTCAGTTCTAGTATAATTTGGGAACAACAGTGAGCCGCATTGAGCATGTATTCCACGGACGCGATAGATTGAAAATTCGAGCCGAGGAGGTTGGAACTATACTACTGCATTATCGTCATCATCCTACTATATATAATCGGCTAAGCGGTTGTGCGTGTGTGTGTCTGTGTGTGTGTATGTGTGTGTTTGTCTGTCTGACCGGAAATTCATAGCTCGGGCACCAGTGGTCGTCAGGAGTTGGTTTCAAGATATGATATAGGGGGTGGGACGGGAACATATTTGGTGGGGTACAGAAAGTGATAACGGCTGATAGGGGCTGATAAGAAGCGTTCGAACGTGAGATAGGGGGTGGGACGGGAACATATTTGATGGGGACCAGAAAGTGATAACGGCTGATAGAAAGTGATAACGGCTATATTCGTGATCCATTCGACCGCTACTCTGCCCGAGCTTCCTAAGATGGTCGGTGTCTGTGGAAATACGATAAATTGGTAATTCTATCGCATCACCGGTAAAAGAAAGTTATTAGACCGCTAAACTGTCTCAATATCCAACTCATTCAGCTGCTAAGAATTTGGCCGCGGCTTACTACTGTGTTCATCAGAAGGCCTATGTTGGCATGCGATAGCGGGCGGAGCAAATTATAATATAACCGGCTCCCTAATTTCTTCACACACTGGTGTTGCCGTTCCGTGGCGAAGGCAGAGGAGTATGTGGTGGGGACGGCTGTGTAGAATGGGGGGGGGGCTCGAACTATGATGGAACGCTTTCAAATTTTGATCGATACAGGAGTGCGGCGCGTAATAGTGAGTAAGGTGGCGCTTACCACGCGAGCGGTCCGGGATCAAATCCTGGGTCGTGAGTCGCCCGGGCCAACCAAGCCTTCCATCCCTCCGGGGTCGGTTAATTGGTACCAGACTTGTCTGGGAGGATAAAAACACTGACTTGTACATCGGCTGGCCCCCGCAAGTCATTGTATAGGCCACATCGCATTCAAACGCCACTACGAATGTACAAATGGAAGTAGAATGCGTGCCGCATCCCAAAAAGGGATTGATCAACGGCAAATGCTTTATCCTTTATCCTTTATAAGATAGGTTATTCATAAGTGATAAAGTTTCTCATTGAAGTTATTACGATCATTTCAAGTACTTTTTGGAAAATAACTGGGAGGTAATTTGGTCTCTCCTACAGTCGTACCAGCGTAATTTTTTGCATTGAGTGCATCTATATATTTTGTTTTACATTTTGATTGCGAGCATTGGGCATTGATAGGAACAGATGTTTCACGGCTAAAGATAGGACATATCGATATACGCCTATTACCTACTTACAACTACGAAATAATCGAAAGAATCGACGGAAATTCCTGAGTCCAGTCTTAACGGCAATCCTTATAAGCTTTTTCTGCCCTATGAGAAGGTAGGCGCGGTTTGATCAGTGCATCAATGAATGGTAGATAGTGTACACGCGCTTTCCTTCCTTTTCGCCGTCATTATCCTACTATATATAAGCGGCTAGCGTGTGTCTGTTGGTGTGTGTGTGTTTGACCGGAAATTCATAGCTCGAGTCACAGTAACGATAGCGCAGTGGTTCTTACATATGTTATAGGGGGTGGGATGGGGACACAAGTGGTACGTGATAGGAACTGATAACGACTGATAATAGCTGATAAGAGGGGCTAGAAAGCGAGCATCGCCAATTTCGTTTTGCCGTTCATATTGGTAAAGAGCGTCTATACTTACAAGCAGGTAATAACTGCGTTGCGCATAATTCCAAATTTTTTGCCTTTCAAGGGGTGTCAGTGCGACCCCCCCTCTATTGGACATGTGTGTTTTTTAGTGTTACGGTGTATTTCTGTGTGTATCAACGTCTTTGTCCAATAAAGTTGAAGTGTGTACATTGGCTTCTTCTCTTTATTCCTGAAGAAAACCCGAAAATAACACAAACGAGACGAACGAACAAAAGAGATCATTGTTCCATGCATCACCATGTGATGCACTGCTATGTGTTAACACATTGGCGACCAAGCAGTTTTTGGGTATTCCCAAAAATTGCGTTCTAATTCTGAAACGCTTCCATATGGTGTACATACCAAATCAATGAGAACACAATGCGGTAACTGCTGAAACATTTGCGCTCGAACATGTCATAATGGTTGCACCGAAGCACAATGTTCCCGTCCGCAAAGGAGAAATTGGAGCTCATGGGGAACTACACCGTGTAGATCCTCAAATGGGGTTGAATCAAATTCTTCTTGCAACTTGTGCACCCTTGAGCCTAGCTATCAGCTTGCAAAAGGCAGCTTTTACTAACGTCAAGAAGAACGACCTTATCACTGAGGAAGCAACTCAAGCAACTTCTGTAGAACTTTCACTGTGAAGGATCATCAAAGAAGGTAGCCATCACAAGTTTGACAACGTATTCTGGGTTACTATAGCACCGCTCAATATTTGGAATATGCGCAAAGGAATAAAATTCAAGGAGTTTCGCCCGGCATCGGGCGACATTGTCGCCAATGTGTTAAAGCTCGATCATTGGGAGGTCGGAGTTGAAATCCGGCTGAAGTGAGGCTTGGTTAACATTCTGTCGATCCCTCGAGTCTCGGTCCCTCGAAAATCTTCTTTTCATATATATCTGAAAAGAAATGATAAGCGATGGTCAAGGGAAAAGAAAGTAAGGAGAACTCACAAGAAGAAAAATATTGACTGCAACAAATATCAAAAATGCCACCATTGCCCGAGGAGTGAAGCCACGAATATCATTAGAAATAGATCCATCTTGTCGTCATTGCTAGCCATACGCGCCATGGCTGCTAATACAGATGCTGTGATATCCGGCAGGGCCATCTAAATATCGGCTATAAGTTTGCTTGTGGGGAGAAGATGAACCTCTTGGAAGCTCACCGCAATAAAATGTCCGGACGTGGAAAAGGAGGCGCAAAGGAGGCGGATACGAAAACCCTGCCAAAAAACAGTCAACATTAAGCTAAAATCGCGCAAAACTCTGTAGTATAGGTATAATGTAATTAGTATACTACTAATTCATAACCCTACAAAAGAAAAATACTTTAGTTCGTCATAGATCTCGCCTAATTTGAATAATACATACGAACCACACACGTCGAATATGACTATGAAATTGTACTCCATAAAAAGCTAAGTAGACAAGTGCCAGAATTGGAGGAAACAGGAAACAAGTAGAGCGATAACGAAAGATTGTGTGGCAGTATGTAGATTTACTATACAAATAAGCTCCTCTCTATAGCAAAATTTGACATATTTTGGAAGGAAAGTTTATGAACAAATCATGAAGTGTACAAAAACTTCTTAGATTACAATATCGCCTTATCATTTATCTCGTGTGTCTGACGACAAAGTAATTCGCTAAACGTTGAGACTCTATCATATGCTCAACCCTGATAAGCTTATAGGAAGCAATAAACAGCCAAACAAGAACAAAGGCAGCAAATATTACCGGTTGAACGAATAGAAGATCCTACTTATGACTTTTCACTGAGAATAGAGAGATGTTGAAGGCTTTGATTGCGACAAGGAGTTTGAAGCTTAATAGCCATGGATTTGATTATGAACCGATTTGTGGACCGCTAACTAGCAGTGAAGAGGGAGGTAGGTTTATTTTTGCAGAGATGGATGGTAGAGCTTCTGGAGAACCTGGAAGAGGAATGGTTGATGGACGTTTGATGAGACGACTGTAAACTTCTGCATAGGGGTTATTTGGGCCCTGATCATGAATATGACACTCATTTTGATTTTGAGTATCATATCCGTGATGAGGACAGAAGCGTTCCGTAAAAGATGTTATACCCTTATGCAGATGTCTATACAACAATATGAACCCACAAAATGCAAGCACAAGCGACACTATTAAACCCTCGTTCACCGATAATTCGTAAAACACCATTTGTGTGGCATCGCCCGGAATCGTGTAAGTCACAAAACGTTTTCAATAATGAGACAGAATTAGTGATTCACCGCATTTATCAATACAATGGGTGTGAGCGCGGGCACGTAAGGTATCAGAAGCCAATGCAGGTGTTCCACCAGGATGTTTCCTGTCCAACATTTCATTCGTTTCTTAAGGACCACATCATCTAATTCCAATTCCGTTAGATAAAAAAATGCAAAACAAGTGCGAAATCATATGCAAACTTAATGTTGCAGAAAAACGAGTGTTTCATTATTCATTCCAGTTGGAAACTCACTTGACTGTCAATATAACTGTCTGGAAATGAACGTGTTTCCAGGGGTAGCCGATACAGAAACCTTCTTGTCACCAGCAATTCTGTTTATTGTTGAGCTCTTGCCGACATTCGGATAGCCAACCATTCCGACAACAACAGGTTTACAACCTGGAGCGTCGATGACATGACCCAAGTCTTTCAAATGTTGTATGAGCAGATCACGACTGGCGCAAGAGACAGAAATCCGTTATGGAGGATGAAGACGGGATGGCGCAGAGCAACATTCCTCCTCGGACTCCTCAGGTTCTTCTACCGCTGTCCTAGAAAGCTCAGATAAGTCGCAGAAAATTTTTTTTTAAAAATTTACGCACTTACCAAAATGCAGCGTTTATATTGTTGTCCGCAAAGTACTTTCGCATACACCATTATGATCTTCACCTCGAGAACATCTGACTCGTTGAGTCAGAAGTAAACTTTTTCGCAGGGTCTAACTTCCTTAACATAGGCCGTCAGAGATACTTACCTCCATAACAGGCGTAGGGTTTGGATCAACGATCTGAAATGCTCTATTAGTTACAGAAACACACTATTAATAATAAAATGGCACATTCGTTTCAAGCATCTGCCGCGGAGCATTCAATCGTAATTCGGATGAATTGTAAGGGAGGTGGAATCGAATGGATGGGAATGAATGGTTTAATGGCCGGGTTCACAACGGAAATTAAGTATTACATCGAACGGACATGAGACCTGCCACACTTTGTGTGACTGACTTCCAGGTAAGATAATAAAAGACTTACAGCAACTAAGAAATTCTAGCTGGTGGATAAGCAATGTGTTTTCAAGACCGATGAGGAAAATGTACTATGTTGGGTTCGGTCTGCAGAATCAAGGAGCTCCAACAATGAATATGGTGGTTCTCAAACATCGCTATGAGCCTTTCGCGCGCTTTATTAATCATGATACTGAGAAATTCAGGAATCCTAACGAACATGTGCAACTGCCAAGGCTAGATAAGCCTTGGCTTCGTGCATCCACTTTGGGTAAGGTGAAAAAGGGAATCCACAATTTGGAAAAATTTCAAAATTCTTAAATGAGAAGGAGAAATCTTTACTTCCATATGAAAAAGAATAAATGGTAAAAGAGAAACCCTTCTTTCATTACATATAGTGTGGTGCATTAGCCAGCAGTAGATGTACTGGCCAAGGCACCACATCATGTGTAAATGTTTTTGCATAAGTAATTGTTCAGAACACTGCAGAAATTATATCATTTTAAGTTTCGCATAAACAGTTTATCAACGGTTGAAGATTATGATTTATGATTACCAGATTAGTCCCCCGTCAACCGCCGGGACCTTCCTTTCCTGCGCAAGCTTTCTATCCTCCGCTATGGTCCCTTCCTCCTGTGACACCAACACCTCCTGGAAGTGACGCGTATGCAACACAATGGTGTTTCATACAGTAGAAGGGACACAATCATGATATGACGGTAGATTTTTCGCTTCCCTTCCTCATCTCCCTTCCTCTCTCCACTGCCCTCCAGCTGCCACTGCAGCACCATGTGGAATGAACGGAAGTGTGCTAAGCAGGTGTTTATATAGCCCTAAGAGTGTTATCACAACTATCCTGCTACAAAACATTGATATCTCAAATCCTGTAAGCTACCCGATTTGTTAGCGGTTTGTTTATCCATGAGCTTCCTTCTCACTCACTTCATTTTGCGGACGGACACACATACACACACACACACACACACACACACATACAGATACACAAACCGACACACAAAGTTAGCGCTTTATATAATAGAAGGATAATATATGGAATAAAACATCAAAAGCAAGCTGAGATCAGGTAAAATGGTGGCCTGGCAGTGGACCCGTAGCACAACTGCCCGGTAAGCAAGCGATGCCCGTTCGAGTCCCGTATGAGGCGAAGGTTTTGCCCATAGTCTTCAGCATTACTGATGAAATCTTTGCAGCGCAGGGTTAAAATAGCAGTTGGCAAAAAAAACAAGTCGGCATCTGTAATATCTTTCTTCGAGGCTGATTCACAGCTTTTTTGACAAGTTCTAGCTATTCTACACATGGTCAAAAATGAGGATTAACCCTACGACGGCACTAGAAAATGAGCTCTTCTGTGCGCAAACTTCAAATGTCACGATAACTTATTAAGAGGAGCATCACACTTTGCGAACCCAGCGATTCGTGCGGCACGAGCGATGCACCAGCGGTTCGAACGATGCACCAGCGACTCGATCCAGTGTGAAAAGTGCATCGAAGTCCCTTATGCGCAACGTGACTAGCCTCCTTGATTGAAGCTTATTGAAACTGAAGTTACATATTTTTGCTAGCTAAACTGACTACTAGTGCACGCCTAAAGGAATGAGTGTTATCCAACCAAATTTGCAAATTCCAGAGGGAAGAATTGAAGTTTTCGAGCTTGTTCTGGATTTGCTCTTTAGCCAAACAAGACCGAATTGGTTTGCTTTCAAAAATTCGGGCATTCGGACGGGCGAAATCTCAACACTCCCAAACAAAGCTCAACAGCGAAATCGACGTCGAATACTATAACAGTTACGGTGGAGGTGCATTCCAGTCTTGAGGTGCATTTCTCGGAAATACAAAAAATCGTGTTTTAATCCATTCTCAATAGCAATGATACCCACAGAATATCTGTGCATTCGATTTAAGGTCGCCACTACACTCACAAAGACTAGTGAAGGGGATTGTAAACGAAGGGAAAGCCGTTAGAACAGAGCCCATAACACCGAGAATGGGATGATCAGTTGAAAAACCTGACAAGAGAAAGAGAAAATGGATAAAAAATGCAAAAAAAAGAGAAAACGCAGCCCACCTGTACAACAATATCACTACGCTCCACAACTCTCCAGAGTTCTCTCCACATATCAGGATTCCTTTCGAATGGAGTGGCCCACACCGTCATTCTGAAAAGAACGAACCCTCTTTAAGCAAGTGAAGACAAAGCTATGAGATGGGACCAGTGTCGGTAAACTAGAAGAAAAACTGGTGTGAAGGCAGCATGAAGGCAAGGAAAATATTCTTCTACGATGGTTTCTCTAGAACTATTTCTTCTTCGATTCCTTTTCTAGCTCAACTCAACAGTTCAACACTAGCTAATTTAGAGTGCTCTTTTTTGCCAAATGCCGCGGTCGCAGCTACCAATAACAATTGTAATATGAGCACTGAGGGCAAACGTTGGAAAAAGGAAGAAGTCCCATTGTGGCCCTGCTGTCTTTCGTGAGACAACCAATCGCAGTGAGTCATGCACGCCACTTGCTATTCTGTTTAAAAGCATTAGTCACTAGAAATATGGCGCACATCCAATCTACTGTCCTCTTACTTCGGTCTGTTCTCAATAGCTTGAAACCCACTTTTCCTCCAAATCAATAGTTTTTTATTCTATTGGAAAGGCTTTTAGATGTTTAAAGAAATTCTATGGCTTATGACTATCATACTGTTGGCTGCGTTAGCTCTCGAATCTGATTCGCGATGTTGGGACTTTTGAGCCGTTTACATGTTTTAGTCACTACTTGCTTAGCTCGATTATATTCCGAACTGGTTTCCTAAATTTTCACACACAAATGAGATTCTGTTATTAAGACGAACATGTTCATTATTGAATGTTAATGTCTGAGAAGTAACTTTCAGTATAATTACATTTCTCAAAATACAGTGCAGCCTGACTACCAAAGAGTGGTGGAAGAACACATGGAACATGGCACAACACAACAACACATGGCCTCTGAAGCACTGCAATTAAAATCGAGGATGTAGAAAGAAGCTTCGGTATGTTCAAAAAGCAAAAAGAGTCAGGCAGATCTGAGGCTACGTCTTCGCCACCTCATCGTTGACGGGAGAAAGCTAACAGTGAAACAGATAACGGAATTAGCTAATTCGCCGTGGCTTTCTTACTACAGAGATCCTGCTAGACCTCAGGCAGACTTCTTCCGCTGCTCGTTATGCAGCAGAGACACAGGCGTTGATAAATACAATCCCGAACCTGACTACGCTAAATGTGCATCATCTGCTGAGCAAAGCGACGCCGTCTTTCATAAGAATCTAATGGGAAAGAACGAGATGATGTGCGTGAATAGATTCGGAGGACGCGATTCGCAGAAGAGTGGCACAAGTGCTCTGATTGCCAGAGTGAAACGCCACCTCCTGACGAGGGTCCACAAAGCTAACGAGATGGACTTCAGGAATTCTTTGCAAGGTGTTCACTCCGACACGGACACAGACGTAGAAGCAACCGTTACAGCTGCATTAGCTGCATATACTATTGCTAAAGAAGGAATGGCACTCCGAACAATTACCTCTGCTGCTGATGTCTTTGCGAGCAGGAGCAGCACCCGCTTTCGCCCAAGCTCCAAATCAGTTCGAGAGATGGTGGCACATTCGCACTGCACATGAAGTACGATATGCTCAAGTACGTGGTCAACTCAGACCTTCCATTCTCTTTGCTTGTTGACGGAATGTCAATGGACGGAAAGAAAATGGATTGTTTTCTCCTTAGAGCGGTTTCTGCTCTGAGCCGCCCTATCATTCGCATTTGACTCTGGTAACTCTACAATATGAAAAGGCTGATGAACATCGTTAATGTCCTTAATAGAACATCTGAAGGATCTTGCCCACTGGAAGGGAGAAGACGATCTGAAGAAGACGCCTTATGAGTTTGTATGAGACGAATGATAGCACTTTCATCTGATGGGGCTTCAGTGATGGAGAGAAAGCACGCCGGGGTTCACAGAAAGCTGCGAGACCTCATAAGGCACGAGACGAAGGACGACGTGAGAAGAGAAGATTTTCTCCTTACGGTGTGTGCTGCCCACAAGCTGAATTTAGTAGTATTAGACTAAACGGGACTCGCTTTCAACCTAACAAATGCCCTTGTGAAAGAACTGCATAATTTGTTGGGTTCTACGGTTGCAACAAGAGCTCGGGTAATTTATGCCGAAACAGCTGAGGACATGGGCTTCCCCGTCCTACAAATGGACGCACTCCATGCAGTTAGGTGGGCAGCAAGTTTGCAAAATTCCGTTTCCAAGATTCTCCGTATGTACCCGGTGCTCATTGAAACCTTGGAAAGACTGGGCAAGACAGCAGTGCTTCCCAGAAAACAAAAAGCCGAGCCAAAGCAGCATTTGCTTTGAAAGACGGTCACACCTTCATCATACTGCACCATGTGAATGCAACTCTCTCCTATTTCGCGAGGCTCTCGGAAGCTCTCCAAAATGAAGAAGCATTGATGGTTGACTACCTTTCCCACTGGAGGCAGTTCGATTTTCTGCTCAGCCAAGAGACCTTAAAAATCAAGTGTATGATTATCTCGCTGACAGTGGGCTACTCGCTTCACGACAAAACGGTTAATATCACGGATTGAATTCCGCGTTCTTGAAGACCTACTATACGCTTCCCGATGACCGTGCTTTGTCTCAAAAGAAGTTACTTGCCTATGCCCCCTACTATTTCGCTGACTACAACAGATTAGCCGTACAGCATATCCCGGCTGAACGGAGAGAAGAAACAGCATCGCTGAGGGGGAAACAAAAATTTCGGCCTCTTGAAACTGTAATCTTTGGCCTCTCAACTTTCGGAAGGTGGCTCTACACACAAAATTGATAACCTTTTTGATGCCGAGATTTTTAGCGCAGTCACCCTTACTGAAGCATACCTCCAGATTGTAGCAGCAAGACAAATAAAGGATTGCGTCAACGCCTTGTACGAAGATGTGCGAAAAAGTTTCCGACACTATATGGAGCCGAAAAGCGTCCCACAGAAGCAACTGCTTCGTTCCCCTGCGCATTGGATAGACATATCATCCTCGACATCATTGAATGCAATGGCGATTACGAATCCTTCAAAAACTGCATTCTGCCCGACGCCTCTGCGGCAACTCGTGGATATCCTGTGTATATTGACGACGAAGGCAATGTGGATAAAACTAAACGACATGAGCTTGTATTGCATCTATCAATGCCATTGAAAAATTTTGCTCCTTACCGGGATCAAAAAAAGCATTTCATGGAATTCTACAACTCAATCGCGAGATCTGTCACAAGAATGACCAAATGGCCTAGTAACCTGAGAAAAGACAGAACTAGTATTCGTTCTACCAAACGCTGCTCAACAACGCCAAGGACCTGGAGATTCCTCCTATCTGTACGAAAGGTAAAGTCTTGCAAAGGTTCTGGATTTCTATGCAGTGTCTTCACCATCTCAGTTTCAGGCGATAAAATGCATACTTGTGATTCCTGCGAGTAATGCTGACCCTGAACGCAGTTTCCACAAGCAAATAGGCTGACAAGAGGCGAACGAGGGAATTTGGGAAATAAAACTTTGAATGATCTCATGGCGTGAGTTTTCTCTATTCCTTAGTTTTTCAATGCGATTATATGAGTTTTTCTGTGTTATAATCTAGCCTCATATCAACTAGCGATTATATTTCAGAATACAACGCGACGGACCCAGTGTCCTTACCATCAGGCCTAGAACGTTAGTGGACCAGTGGATAAAACCACGCCCCGTGCTGGGACTTAAACAACACATGCCATCGACATTCGATAGATCGGATAGCTTCATGAAACAAGTAAAAGAATCTATCAGATCAGGTAATTTTTCTGCCACATTATGCAGCAGCATAAACGCCGTTTTCGATTCAGAGGATGCAGCTGCACTTGTTCAACTACATGTCAAACATTCAATGACCATAGATTCACTGAATCAAAGACGCGACTCTGAAAAGATACGCTCTTCAAGAGAGGACCTGGAAACTTCAAAATCAATGATTTTTTCATCTGGTCTCCTTCATGATTCGACCGAGCTATGATGCTTCAACTATTCTCCATCCGTTTTCATGATGATGGACGACATGAAAAATATCCTTTCTTTTTCTCTTGTGATGCGACTAAATGACTTATGAATATTCCATTATCCATATGTGACTTCGCCAAATGGCAACATTGGTTGCGATCGAACGAATACACCTGAAGAGATTATACTTCAGTACATTTTAATTTCCTAGTGCATCTGTGCATCTCATGTTCCAATATTTTTTCAGCTGGTGCTCTGCACAAACGTAATGAATAATGAAGCGTTTTTCCACCCAATATGTCACATTACTCTTTGATCTGGGTCACTTCCCTTTGAGCACATATCTGTGGATCTGTGGTTAACGTTGTTTTCTCTGGTCATTTTGTTTAACAATGATTTTTCGGATATAAAAACGTGTGTATATAAAACCTGCTTTCAGGGAATAATGTCTGATGAAGACAAGGACGTTCGTATGGTGGGGGGATGCATAACGCCGTCATTTAATAGCTGATAAGTACTGATAAAATATCAGAACTGGTGATAGATTTGGAAATTCAGTTTTGAGATTTCTGAATTCAACAGTGGAGGCCAGAATGAAGGTAAACATGTCACAGACTTCGATTTTTCTTATTTTGAACGATTGCATGTTGCAGATACAGGCACTGTGGATCAAGAAACTCATCGCGAGACTGCAAAGAGATTTTGACAAGCTCCTCAAATTCTGGGAGGACATCGAAGATACTCACATGCATCTCAACAAGATCTATGAGCGACTTGGACTACAAACTATTCCACCCCTCCCCTCTAATCAGAAGTTACACCTGATCGCAGACTATCTCAGGAGCGAATCCTTTTTTGATCGATAACTCCTCACCTTTTCTCTATTTTCACCATGATATTAAACAAATGGACTGTGTACAATTGCAAGATTATAATCTTTTTATTCTCCTATATGTAACGCCTATTGCACGACGTAATATGTCAACAATAAAAGCTAAGGTACAATTATAACAAATTATAACGTAAAATAAGACAGTTGAATTTCAATCGATACGCTGGAAATTGGTGACTTGCTAAGTTTGGCACCTATACCACCTTTTTTTCATAATTAAG